TTTAATATTCAAAAAACTTGTTGTTAAATTAATTTTAACAAAACATCTTTTCTTCAACCGCCTGCTCTAGTATAAACTCTCAAGACCAAAAATGCCAACTACAAAAAAAGTTGATGTGGGGCTTGGTAGGCCTTTAAATATTACTCCGATCACATTGTTTCATAAAAGTGAGGGAATGCTAAGTTCTTTGAGGACAAATTTTGAATTATATTTAAGAATATTTTCATTCGCATTTCTTAAACTATAAACTTATGTAGGTATAGTCAATACATACAATAGAATAAAAAATAAAAAAACAAACAATTTATAAAGAATTTTACGTTTTTGGTTAATGATTTACTTCGAGCTTAGCGCTTGGGACATAGTGAGGGAATGATTTTTATGGTACTTTTTTGGACATATCTTTTTTGTTTATCGTATAAAAAATTAATTTGTTTCATAAATTTGTACATCTAGTACAGTAGTTTTATTTAAAAAAAAATCTAATTGACGATCCTGGTTTACATAAATCATCAAGGACATCAATTTCGACTTTTTTTTCGGAATTAGCCATATATATATATATATATATATATATATATATATATATATATATATATATATATATATATATATATATATATATATATATATATATATATATAAAATGACAAATATTTAAATGTAATATACACTTAACGTGTATCATATTTTAATTCTTTTAATATACCCAGCCTAGTTTAACAAGCTTTTCTTCCTTTTTATTGTAAAAATTTCAGCAATATAGCTGATTTCCTTTTATGTCGTAGGTAATTAAGGATAAGTATAATCGGATGAGATAGGGCAAAGGATGGACAGCAGCGTCCCTATTAAAACATCTCTAAAACTCAGCCAATTGCGGTTGCCAATCCGCCTGGTAAATGTAACAACTACTAGTAAAACGACCCAAGAGGGAGGCTTATGATCATTAGTGGACAGTTAAAGGCTGATAAGATGATGATGATGATAAAATAGGAACGAGATACAAGTTTATAAGAAAATCTAAAAATATGAAACGGCCTATAGCAATTTAATTTTGATTATTTCATGTTACAAAATAAGCAGATATGAATGTTTTTCATTTATAACAGAAGAATAAACGTTTTAGTAGAAGAATATACATTTTAATAATCCAATATCTATAATTATAATATAAATTAACTTTACTGATAATGTTTAATTTTCAAAGCCTAAAAATGTGAAATTTTGCTTTAAATATATAAATCTAATCAGGATTTATATATTCATACAATTTCAATTGAAGAAGCAAAGTTCTTATTACAGTTCTGATTGCTACGCTTTAATTAAATACTATAGTATTTCACTGAACTATAAAACGTAGTTCTCATTTAAATACATGGTTAAAATATTGGTTTAAATAACTAGTACAATTCAACGTTGGTGCAACGTTAATACAGACTACGTTGGGACACTTGGAACAGAATTAGTTGCCCAAAATTATGTCTAAGGTTTAGCAGTGTTGTTTTCCATTCCACAGTGAAAAAAAAAATAACTAAAGCAAATTAATAAAACCGTTTTATTGAATATTCCTCTACTTTTTGTATAACCATAAATTGTTAATTCTTTTAACAAAGTAAATTACCATAGGGAGACTTTGTACAAAAGTCAATTGCTTAGGTACCTCTGTCCCATTCGTGTTTCAACCGTGAAGCAGTTGTGTTTGCATGGCTGTGTTTCGGTTTAAAGGGTGGGATATGGCGTGAATTTACTGGGTACAGAGGAATAACATCTGAGTCCTCAGGAATGGCAACAAATGGGGGGTATCATGGGCGAAACAGTATACTCTGTTATGTCCATGGTACTGCTCATGTCTATAAGCGACGGTTACCACTTTCCATCAGGTGGGCCGTCAGCTTGTTTGCCATTCTAAGTTGTATAAAAAAAAATACTAGACATAGGTATAATTTTTCTTTCAAGAGGATTTTGTCATGGCATATGACTTACGAGGTTTGTCCGGAAAGTACGTATAAAAGTTTTTTAAAAATTTTATTTTACAATTATTCAGGTAAATCAATTTTATCCCCTTCAAAGTACTCCCCCTGTGACATAATGCACTTGTGCCAACGCCGTTTCCACTGTGAGAAGGCTCCTTGAAAGTCCTCTGGTTGTAGGTTTCTCAGCTGCCCCGTCGTAGCTTTTTTTATCTCATTTATGTCCCCCAAATGCCGCCCCCGAAGTACCAATTTGGTTTTTGGGAACAAGAAGAAGTCACACGGGGCCAAATCCGGCGAATAGGGGGGTGTTCGGTCACCGTAATGGAATTTTTACTCAAAAACTCACGGACAACAAGAGAGGTGTGGGCAGGGGCATTGTCGTGGTGAAGAATCCAACGCCCCTCTCGCGCCAATTCTGGACGAACTCGTGCCACACGAGCTTTGAGGCGTCTGAGCACATCGACGTAGAATTTTCCATCAACTGTCTGGCCTGGAGGGAAGAATTCTTGATGGACAATCCCCCGAACATCGAAAAAAACAATCAACATTGTCTTGACATTTGAGCGGGATTTTCTTGATTTTTTTGTTCGTGGTTCCCCGGATGTCTTCCACTCTTTGCTTTGGGATTTTAATTCGACATCAAATTCGAATCAATTCAATTTCTTCAACGGAAGCGGGCTCCATGCCGACGGGGTTTCGTTAAGAGGTAACTTCACAGATGGCGTGACAAGCCAGTTCGCACCGCACGGCGGTCAGACCAGAACTGAAGCATTGTTAGGGCGACAGACCTCGGTCTGTCCGGAAAGTTCGTATAAAAGTGTTCTGGAATGCGAGAAAGAGGAGTGGGGAGGCCAGGTAAGCGCAGGACCCCTTCCTTATGTCCCTAACAATGCTTCAGTTCTGGTCTGACCGCCGTGCGGTGCGAACTGGCTTGTCACGCCATCTGTGAAGTTACCTCTTAACGAAACCCCGTCGGCATGGAGCCCGCTTCCGTTGAAGAAATTGAATTGATTCGAATTTGATGTCGAATTAAAATCCCAAAGCAAAGAGTGGAAGACATCCGGGGAACCACGAACAAAAAAATCAAGAAAATCCCGCTCAAATGTCAAGACAATGTTGATTGTTTTTTTCGATGTTCGGGGGATTGTCCATCAAGAATTCGTCCCTCCAGGCCAGACAGTTGATGGAAAATTCTACGTCGATGTGCTCAGACGCCTCAAAGCTCGTGTGGCACGAGTTCGTCCAGAATTGGCGCGAGAGGGGCGTTGGATTCTTCACCACGACAATGCCCCTGCCCACACCTCTCTTGTTGTCCGTGAGTTTTTGAGTAAAAATTCCATTACGGTGACCGAACACCCCCCCCCCCCCCCCCCTATTCGCCGGATTTGGCCCCGTGTGACTTCTTCTTGTTCCCAAAAACCAAATTGGTACTTCGGGGGCGGCATTTGGGGGACATAAATGAGATAAAAAAAGCTACGACGGGGCAGCTGAGAAACCTACAACCAGAGGACTTTCAAGGAGCCTTCTCACAGTGGAAACGGCGTTGGCACAAGTGCATTATGTCACAGGGGGAGTACTTTGAAGGGGATAAAATTGATTTACCTGAATAATTGTAAAATAAAATTTTTAAAAAACTTTTATACGTACTTTCCGGACAAACCGAGTACATGGCGAATATAGACCAATAGGAGTAAATTCAGTCCTATTGAAAAAAAAAACAAAAAGTTGAAAACAGCGAGTATTTAGTTTTTTGTTCTGTATAAGATGTATAAATAGTATACACTTTTTACAAAACGCGAAGAAAAATAATACATAACTTTAAATCAAGTGCATGTGTAGGCGTCGCATCGTCGTCTTTACCAAACATAATCCAAGATATATCTAAAAACAACTTTAGCAAAAAAAGCACCTATGGAATAATCTAAAAATCATGGATTAAATTTTTAAGTAAGTACAAAATTCGTTACTAAAAAACCGATTGTAATCTTGACAAAAATAATAATATGACATAGAGAAACAAAACAGAAATAAACCGTTTTAATAAAAAGAATCGATTTAAGATTAACAAAAATATCGTAATATGTACTCAAAAAATATAAATCAAATAATAACCTCCTTCTTTTGGAGGGATTTCTAGTTGACTTATATACTAGTTGATAAGTTTTACAAAATTAATAATACACAACAATGGACACAAATCTAGAAGACGCTTTGCTACAGAACGACAACGCAACGCTGTCTAATTTGCCTAAAAACAACATTCTGCACTATTGAGTTAACAATTTTGCTAATATCTTAAAGAATAAAATTCAAGATCATGTCCTGCAGTTGTGACTATCAATTAAATTAAATATTCAATGTTTAATTTCTCGCAAATGTATCCCGTTAAATTATTATTAATCTATTTTATTATTATAATTCATCTAAAACCACCGTTTATTGAAACTACATTTAGTGAAACATTTGGTATCAAAATCGTTTGAATGATTAAAAAACACCGTATACATATTTTATATATACGTAATACATTTTTGCTTCTTCACAAGTTTTTGCTCTATGAAAAACAGCTATTTTAATAATTTTAAAATTAATATAGACCAACACGGTATAAACCCGATCGATTGCAAAAAAATTGATTCAGAATTGACGACAATATTCCGTTATTACCCAAAACAAACAAACTACATATATTTATTTTCAACTTACAAAACGATTTTGTTCATTTTGAAATCGCTTAAAAACAGTTTTTATTATTATATGTAATTTAACACCCAATTAAATTTATAGTTACTGATATAGAATATATATACAGTTATAATATAATTAATACGCCTGTACTTACTACATAAAACTATTCATCTGTATGATATAAGAATATTTCTGAGTTAATTACAGTATCGAGAAAGGTATTTAATTTAATAAATATTGTCTTGTTCAATTTACACTTATTGCGACGAAGTATATAATGTTTTTATTATATTTGCATTGATAAGAATAGATAGCACCTTATAAATAGCGAATCATTGAAGTATCCTTTGTACTATATAAGAGAGAGCACGTGCAAGATGTTGTGGTTATATGTAATTCTAGTATTATATATATTTTACACCTTTACAAAACAAAAATATAACTACTGGATAAAATTTGGTGTTAAAGGACCGTCTCCTCTACCTTTTGTTGGCAATTTCGGAAAAGTGATGCTTCAAAAGGAATCAGTGAATCAGTGTGTAAAAGATATATATAAGCAATACTCCGAAGAAAAGATTGTTGGCATATACCGCGGTTTTCAGCCTATCTTGCTTATCAGAGATCCAGAACTAATCAAACAAATATTGATAAAGGATTTCAATTTCTTTCAAGATAGAGGAATAAGTACGTCTCGCAGTCGTATTTCTGAAAATTTATTCTCTGCTGAAGGTGAGAAATGGAGAATCCTAAGACAAAAACTCACACCTGTATTCACGTCTAAAAGACTAAAAGACATGATACCTCTAATTGAAAACTGTATCGAAAATTACTTAAATTATGTGGAACATCTTGTTGAAAATAATATTGAGCACGAATTAAGATTGTTAGCATCTAAATACACGCTACAAGCGATCGTTTCATGCGCTTTCGGTCTTAACATAGATACTTATTCAGACACTCAAAATGAATTCACAATAATGGCAAAAAGGGTATTTTCACCAACTACCATTGTTAAGTTCATTACTATTTTAGATATGATAATTCCCGGTATTAGAAGAATTATTAAATCAAGCAATGATATTAGTGACTTCTTTTTGAACCTTGTAAGAAAAGTTATCGAGGAAAGAAAAAATAAACCCATGTTGAGAAAAGACTTCATGGATCTAATGATAGAATTAAAAGAACAAGGAAATATTAGCGGCAAAAATCAATATACAGGAACAGCAGAAATTCAAATAGACGACAACTTAATAGCCGCTCAAGCTTTAGTTTTTTACGCTGCTGGGTTTGAAACATCATCGGCAACTATGTCTTTTATGCTTTACGAACTTGCTCTAAATCAGAATATTCAGGATAAGGTGTATCAAGAAATCCATAAAATTACCGAAAAATATAATAACAAATTGACTTACGAATCAATTAAAGAGTTGACTTATTTGGAAATGGTATTTGAAGAAACATTGAGGAAACATTCAGTGGCGGGGATATTATTTCGTAAATGTAAAACAAATTACTCTTTACCTGGAACAAAAGTTATATTACAAAAAGGTACACCGGTTATTATATCAGTTAGTGGACTGCAACAGGATCCGAATTACTTTCCAAATCCAGAAATTTTTAATCCAGACAATTTTTTACCGGAAAATAAAAACAAAAGACCACAATATACACATATGCCATTTGGTGATGGTCCTCGTAATTGTATAGGTAAGAATATCAAACAGTCGTTATTATGTGCAGTGTTTGTAACATATTAAGTAATAATGCTGCTTTTACAGGTATGCGCTTCGCAATAGTGCAGTCCATGATGGGGATAGCAGCCTTTTTAAGGAAATTCAAAGTGATTCCTTCTACAAAAACAAGAACTAAGCTCCGTTACGATCCTAAGGCTATAACTTTAACTAGTCTAGATGGTATATGGTTAAAAATAGTAAAAAGGTAAATTTGAAATATCTTTTTTCTTTTTTATATTATGTATTGCAAAAAGCCTAGGAGCCGTAGACAAGCTATAGTTTGTCCATGTGGTGACGTAATAAAAAATGTGTTACTATTCTCTTTATCATGTCGTAGAAAGTGATTAACGTAACATATATATTGTATAGAAGTAAAACCATAATGAAATCCTATGAACCACCTGCCTAGTGTGACTATATTGTCTTCTTACGAAGAGAAATCCTTGTTAAGAAACGTTAATGAGTTATATATAAAAATTACCTTAAAGTTTATATGAAAAAGCCAGTTGTATCCCCTAGCTTTGCCCATATGAAATACAATAAAAGTGCCCTATGTATTAATATAAGATATATTATTCTGTATACAAATTCCACTGAAATTCGTTCAGTCATTTGAGTAACCGATATCGAAACATCTTGACAATCTAATATGTACTACAGACACAGTAACGCTATGGTATAGAATTACTGCTCTCAAGGAAATGGAATATATTTTTAGTTGTGTCAAACTTGCCCAAATAGATGTGAATAGTCATATTTAAGGGACCACATAATACAACACAAGGGAGGTAACGTAATGTCACCACCGATGTGATTAATTCAACATGACTCGTTAACGCTTGGCAAAGTTGGCCCTTGTTTATAAATTTTGAGGCTAATGAGTTCCCCACCTTATTGTTGCCGAGCGAGAGAATTTTACAAAGTTCGCAGTTTTAACATACTTTATAAATAGATTAATTTATCAACAACGGGTAAAATTATGTGGTGAAAACGGTTGTGCTATACCTACTTATATATCTTAATAGTATTTAATACTTATAAATATCTATTTATAGAGAATAAACAAAGATATCGCAAGCACTTTGTTGGAATATACGAGTATAGGTACTAATTTACACTTATTACATTCTTAACAATTATTCAACTTTCCTCTACTGGGTATGGACCTTTTTCAACAAAATTTATTTTTTTTAATATAAATTTGCCTGATCATTCTAATTATATTGTATGGCATTATATTTATCTTTGACCTTAAATGATTACAAATTATTTTTTAAAAAAAAACTTTTAATATTTTTATATCTAACAGTGAAACAAAAAAATTACATTGTTTTTCACCATTTCTAAACATTTTTTTTTCTAAACAGATTATAGTTGCGGCTTTATTCTATATTTTGAAAATATAATTTTTAATTTAAGCATGCAAAGAAGACAATTATTGCAAAAATACTCGAAAGAAACTGAAAATATAAATAAGAAACACAATAGCTTTTCTTTTAAAGACAATCCATCCAAGTAAGCTGTTGTTACTGGCTAAATAAATTGCCGGATTTTTTAAAGGCTTTACGCGTCTGTGATCAATGAGAGGGCTTTACATTTTGTAATAGAGGATTTCGTGGTTCTCTTTCTAGCTTTAATATTTTGGATATAACTGTCTCCTTTCTTTAGGTTAGAAGCAGTGCGGTGAGCAGCGAGTTGTCGATTCTTATTAGTACCGGTTTGGGTTGTTCTAAATTTGTTATTGGCGTAGCTAATTTGATTGATTAGGTGTCATTTTATGTTCAATAAAAAGAGACGAAAGTGGGATTTCCGTTTTTATAAGTGATATTTACTTTTATATTAAGTAAGTCTTTCCACATGAGAAGATATAATGTGGTAATAGATCTATCTTCAATTTAATATTAATATTCAAAAATATTATTATGCTTGACCTGCTACGTATGGGCAGAAAAATGAACAATTTATATTGGGTTTTACTTCGTGCCGTCTTTCTGTTGCACAGTTGGGCGCTTCCCTCTATTCGACTCTTACGGCTCCAATGTGACCATAAATGGTACCGCCATCGTATTCTTACTCTTTAAAATATAAAAAAATATATAATATGACTATAATATATGTAATAAATTATGTAATTGAACTTATTAAAATTTAATAGTCATCAATTAGAATGCTGTTAGTAAATATATTACATAATTTAAATATATTTAAATATATAAATTAGCCGCACAAAGCTGACGTTTGACAGTTTAATTAAGCATGTACTGAGTCTGATACGAGGGTCTAACGCAAAATCAGACTCCAATCAGTCCTGTCCTTAATTTGTTGGGTCGTAGGAAAACTTGCTCTATGTACAACGCGATAAAATCTACATTAAATTATCCAGCCTTCATTTATCGATCTTTGAATTTAGAGCAAACACTATCGCTGTGGTGAACCGGTGACACTAAATTAGAAGTGAAGCATAAAGTATTTTATGGAGATTCCACGAAAAAGAAAAATGAAAATAATGTTTTATGTTTATTTAAACATAACTGATTGAAATGTAATCGCAAAAAAATAGTCTTAAATGAATTAAAAATTTGAGCTGAGATTCTTATTGTGATTCCCGGCTGACTGACTTAACAATACTTACTCGCTAAAGTTAATGAAAATGCAATAATTTCGTTATTTAAAACACCTATGTGTATACTTGCATGTAAACGATCTCCTAGCAGTTATATTACTGAAGCATTCATGGCTGTCATTAACAGTTAACATTAACTAGACCAGCCCGAGGAAGACATTCTTGTAGATAGTAAAGTGCAACAGTGCATTTCTCATTTGGATGACAATAATTAACTTTAAGCTACCATAATCATTTTCATTTACAAGTTTTTCAATAGTTAATAATAACAAGTGAATTATGTTTCACAAAAAAAATCGCGGCAAAAATTAGTTATTTTGATTTAAAAATCGAACTACTTAACTGATTTTGATGAAATCTCTATGGGACTAATTTTAAAACATACACCTTTTAAATAAAAAAGTATTTTCTAAATCGATTTATAAATGACGGAGTTATAAGGTAACGAACTGAAAAAAAAATTCAAGCTAGTTAATATTTTATTTAATATTAAAAAGAATTTTTAAAGAATAGAGAAGTGTGAAACTGATAATTACCAAACATGCCCCTAAGTATCTATTGGCTGGAACTGTGTGAATTGGCTTCAAAATTGTATTTTAAAATAGCAGAAAGTTAAAATAGCCAATTAGCGGCACGTCGAAATATCCAGAAGCATTAAAAATTCAGAGTGCAAAGTGCAAATCGGTGTAAGTGCAGTCGCGGCTACATTTAGCCAGTCGCGTCTGGACAGCCTGCCTGCCATACTACTATAGTTTGTCTGCTCTACAAATAGACCGTCCTACAGACCAGGAGCTTGCTGATTTTGTATCAGATTTCACCCACAACTTCAGCTGGGAGGTAAAATTTTTCCACGACACGTGAAAACAATTCCTGACGTGAACAGCTATAAATATCGTACATTATAATACTTATTAACTATTACTATGACACCTATGATAATTACCATGTATTTACACCATGCTTGAGATAGAATAACAATTTTTGCTCATATAAACCTAATTATAGAACGAAAAACAATGTCTTTTTCTACCTTATACGTGCGATCACGAAACCGTATCCACTGATATATTTCATCGTAATACGCATAGGAAAGTACAAGATGTCAGAAGTGGAAGTTGATTTTATCTATTGCTTAGTTCCCTTCCCTTACGAGAGGGGTGACACGTTGTGTTTATTACTTCGTCACCACACAGAAAGCGGTAGATGCGTTAGCGTAAACATATCTACAAACAGATTTCTTTGACAGTTATCTAGGGGGTATCTACATAATCCCCTTACTGAAAAAGTTCAATATCAATAATAATTTATGTCAAACGGAAATCTACAGGTATTTCTAAACACTAATAAAATAATGAAAACTGTAGATCATATTGCAAAATAAAGTTTTCACTTTGTATTCTCCTCCAGCACTATGATAACTGATCCCAGACTAAACTGAAAATAGCGATCTCTAAATGTGAAAATTGATTTTGACACGTTTACGTGTACCTATACTACTGAAGACGGCCCTCTCTATAATGCAAAACCTATTCCCGTATTTCGCCCGTCCCGAGTTACAAAATATGACATGACAATTGAAAAATTGCTCATTGCTTGTCAGGTTTACATATAAGATGCTGCTCGTGTAAAAATAAAAATAAAAATGTTTCTATTGCCAAAAGAAATCAACATCTTATTTATAAAATATCATAATTGATAATTTTATTATTGAATTAGTGAGAGAATTACATAGAATCTATTGTCATGTAAATAGGCGATGGCTGGAGAATATAGTTACCACACTTCCTATAAATAAACACGATTAAGGATTATAGTACAAAAGACAAGTAAAACTAAATTTAGGTATAATATTCGGTACTGATTATGAAAATATTGTAAATCGTGGCTCAAACTCATCGTTATAATATTAATAATCTTTATACTTGTAGCCTGCTTTAGAAAATCTAAATATATTGAAACTTGATATTGTAATTTAAGATTCCGTTTATATTTTAAAATGAAAATGCTTCCTTGAACATAGCAACATACTAGTAGCACTTCCACATTACAATTACAATGGTAAAACACCATTTACCACGGGACGAAAAACTCGATGAAATGGTAAATAACGTGGCAAAAAAGGGAAATATATGTGATATATAAGAGAATATATATATATTGGCATAATAATATATAATAAATATTGTTTATTATATATTATTACATATAGACATGACATAAAAATAAAACATTGTACGACAAAGTTTGAAGATGCATTGAGACAATATTTCCGAGGCATGAACGACACGGCTCGGTCCCGTGCCATTGAATATTTCCTGCCCTCGCAACTCTGACTGCGGTCAGAACATCTTCCTATGTAAAAGTTTTGTTTTCATTAGTTTGCTGTACTTTACAGCGGTTGACATGCCGTCCCCAAACTTCTCCATTCGGTACAACTCCAATATTTCAACGTTTCAATATTGGCACACAAGTACACTTATGTGTGTACCTTAGATAATAGTGTGTACATACACATAAATATTGTAATGTTTTATGTTTAAATCAGATACATATTAGGGTCAATTCTACAATATGTCTTCATT